GCAATTATATTTTGCTTTAAATTATTAGGTTTTATATAAACAGAAGGATGCTCCATGTCAATTATTTGTTGTTTGTTGGTGGTGCCTTTGAGTTGAATATGAATCATAGAAATGCTATGAACAACAACAGATCTGGACCCTGCCCTATCCTGTGCCATCTTCACAATCTCTGACACACTCTAGACATATTTGTTTACATTCCAAATAAAGGTGATCCAAAAAAGGTGGAAATTGTAAAAAAAAAATCATTAATAACACATACAAGAAAAATACTGTTGAAAATTTAAACATTTAAAAATGGCTAGAACAGGACATAAAGAATTACCAGACATTCTGAATTTAGGAGGGGCCATGGTTCCAAGAATGTTATAATTGATGCCAGGTGCATACTGCCTTTAAACAAAGAATACCAGAATAATATCTATTTGTGCTTTATTGCACAAGAAATTTGACTGTGTGGATCATAACAAATTGAGGAAAATGGGAAATCCAGAACACTTAATTTGGCTCGTGTAAAACCTAGACTTGTGTGAACACAACAAGGAAACACTATATAGTTTAAAATTAGCAAAGCTGTGCATCAAAGTTATATCCTTTCTCCTTATCTATGTAATTTATATGATGAGCAAATTATCCAAGAAACTGGGCTTTAGGAAGAAGAAAGTGGCATCAAGATTGGAGAAAGACTCTCAGTAAACTTTATTACTGGGTGATATAACCGTGCTTGTTGAAAGTAAGGAGGGTTGAAGCACTTATTGTATAAGGTTAATCGCTGCAGCCTTCAATATGGATTGCATTTCAACATCAAGAAAACAAAACTTCTCACCACTGAACTTATAGGCAACAACATCATGATAGTGAAATGATTGAAACTATCAGTGACTTCTTACTTGGATCCACCATCAATATTGTTAATGCCAATAGTCAAGAAACTTGCACTGGAATATTGATTATTTGGGAGACTTAAAATGCTAATTCTATCCAAAGTAACACTAATATTCAGCACAATCTCAAGAAAAATTATAGCCTTTTTACAGGAATGGAAAACCAATTCTCAACTTTATATGATATCCACAAAACGTAAAACAATGTTGTTGTTGTTGTTGTTATCTGCCTTCGAGTCGCTTGCGACTCATAGCGACCCTATGTACAACAGCCCTAAACTCTGCTCTGTCCTGTGCCAATCACACTGTCTCTGACATTCCCATCCCGATTATCCCAGTCACTGAATCAATCCACCTCATAGAGGGGCTTCCCCTCCTGCGCCGTCCCTCCACCCTCCCAAGCATGATGTCCTTCTCCAACGACCGGTCTCTCCTCACAACATGTCCAAATAGTGAAGTAAAAGTAGGAAGAGTCACATTTTCTGGTTTAAAAAAAAAGATTATATAACTATAGTAATGAAAACAACACTTAATAGTAGTGTAACAATAAAATTGATGAACCAATATTTGACAAAGGTGCTGAGTCCATTTGATGAGAAGAATCTCTTCAGTATATGATGTCAGAAAAATTGTACCTTCACATGTTAAAAAAAAGGAAATAGAACGCATGTCTCACAATATCTACCAAAACAAATTAAAAATGAATCAATGACCCCAATGTGAAAGCTAAAACCAAAAACTGTCTTGAAAATACAAGAAGAAAATGCAGGGGCAAGACTACTGGACCTGAATTTTAACAATAGATTATCTAATATAGCAAATAACAAAGTCATTATAGCAAAAGACAAACAGGATTGCATGAAAAGTAAACATTTTGTTTATCAAAAGACATTACCAGACAAAACAAAACAAACAAACAAATTCCAAAAAGACAAGCTGTAGGTTGGGACAGTATTTTTAGAAATTATATATCTGAAAATTATCTAACAATCAAAATATAAATACAATTTCAATAATTTAACAAGAAGAAGATCAATAGTCTCATCATAAAATGAGCAAATAACTTGAATAGACATTTTACCAAGGAAGGCATTAAAATGGCCATCAAAAGTAGAAAAGTTGCTCAAGGTCATTAGCCAACCAAACAACAACAACAAAAAAATATACTGCTATGGAGTCAAGTCCAAGTCATGTGACCCTCCATTGGGTTTCAAAGGCTGTACATTTTTACAGGATTGTCCAGCTTTCTCCTGAGGAACAACTGGTAAATGTGAACTGCTGTATGCTTTTAGGGCTCTTTCTTCATCCAACAGGATGATGAAAATAAAAATCACAGTAAGATTGAGAATTCCTGGAGGTTCAATAGTTAAGTACTTAGCTATTCATTTAAAATTTCGCCATTCTATCACACTCAATAGCTTTGCAAGAAAAAGTGTGACCGTCTGCCGCTAAAGATTATAGCTTTGGAAGTCCTATAGACATTTTTACTGTTAGAGGATTGTTACCAGTTGAAATCAACTCAAGGCAAATTGCTTTGTTTTTGGAAGATGGCTAAGATAAAAAACACAAGAAAATCTCTCTAGATTAACCAAGTTAGAATGAATGTGGGGTATTTGTAATCCTTATCCACTGCTAGTAGGAATGTGAAATGGGACAATTATTGTGGATACCAGCTTGTCATTTCCACAGAAAACTGAAATGCTCCAGCAATTTCACTTCTAGATATGGACCCAAAAGACTTGAAAGCAGAGACTCAAACTGAGACTTGTACACCAGCGTTCATGGTAGCACTGCTCACAATACCCAAAAGGTAGAGACAAATTCTATGATCATCAACAGATGAATTGTGAAGAAAATGTTGCACATACTTTCAGTAGAATGATATCAATAAGAGAAAGCAAGTCTTAATATATGCTTGGATCTTGAAGATGTGCTGAGTAAAATCAATAGCCAAAGGACAAAATTTTTAAGAACTTGCTTATCTTAGAAGATACATAAGCAAATGTATACAGACCAAAATTCATTAGGGGGTTTCAGGGTTAGGAGATTATTGCTTACTGCATATTGAGTTTGGGATTGTTGTTATGTGCTGTCGAGTTGCTTGCAACTCACTATGTACAACAGCCCTCAACTCTGCTCTATCCTGTGCCCACCTTACTCTCTGTGACACACCTACCCTCATTACCCTAGTCACAGAATCAATTCATCTCATCAAGGGGTTTCCTCTTGCTCTATCCCTACAACCCTTCCAAGCATGATGTCCCTCTCCAAGGACTGGTCCCTCCTTACAACATTCCGAAAGTATGTCAAATGAAGCCTAAGAATCCTTGCCTACAAGAAGCATAGAGATGAAAAAAATCACATTGATTAAGTATATGACTGCACAACCAATTAATGTAATTGCTGTGCAATAGTTGTGCATTGTAAAAAGTTGAATTGGCAAAAGTGATAAATACACTGTGAGGAGAAAAAAAATACCTAAGAGGAAAATAGTGAGGTCTGGTGGACAAGTCTATAGGAAGTTGCATTGCTAACTGAAAGATGAGACCTCTCTGATGGTTCCAATCTACCAATGACTGCAGGAGAGAGATCTGTAATCCTGCCCTTGACGTTTACAGCCACACAAAAGTAACTGGAAGGCCAGCTATGAGTAAATACAGACTCAATGGCAATGAGTTTGAGTTTTGAAACAAAAGACGGTAGAAAAATCTGCCAAATCACAAGGAATCTGGACTTTTCTTGTTGATGGAACACTACTGAATGCTTGAAACTAATAATGCCTTGGACACTTAATACGTGCTGGCATGTGCCTAAAATCAAACAATAGTTTACCTAAAATAGTCAAGAAAATCTGCCATGATCTATATAAATGATCAAATGGACAATAGTAATTTGAAAGATTAGATCAGAAATTTAGACAAAAGAGAGATTATGTTAAAGAAAGGAGCAACTCAAAATGAAGATGAGAATGATGTACAACCTAAAGAATGTGATTGATGTCACTGAATTGTAGATGTAGAAATTGTTTAATTGTTGTATGCACTCAATAACAACAAAATAAAGCCACTAAATTATTGTAAAAATTGACATGTTAACTAATTTAATGTGTAACTCAATGACATTAATTACATTCATAATGCTAGGCTACTAGCACATACACTATTCATCTCCAAATTATTTTTATCATCCTGAATGTCTTTCCCTTTTAGCAATGAGTTTTTCCTCTGCCATTTCCCTACCTCTTACTAACCACTAATACACTTTCCCCTTAATTATTTCAGTTAATCTACATATTTAACATAAATAAGATAATCCTTTTCATATCTGACTTATTTCACTCAGCATGAAGATTTTTTGTTGATATTTCTATCAGATACATGTTTCATTTACATTATATTTTATTTTATTACTTTATATTGTAGAGTTACCATCCCCCCTCTTTACAATCATCTGACCAACAACGACTAGCTACTTCATGTTTTGTATCTTAGACAGGCAATCAGCATGAAGATTTCACACCATGTAACAGAACTCCATTTCTCTTTATGTTTTTGTTAGGTGCCATCAAAAGCCATTGTATGTATGTTCCATTTTCCTTTTCAATCCATTCATCTTGTGATGGATACTATAACATGCCTTCAGAAATGCTATGAACTTTGATAAATGTCATTATAGAAAGGCTTCAGGACTTTTGTTCATAGGTTCTCTATGAGTCGTGCTTGACTTGAAGGCAATCAGCAACAACAAATAACATACTGTGCTTTAACAAACCATATTAATTTTTGTTGCTGTTGTACGTGCCATTGAGTTGGAACTGACTCATAGTTGACCCTCTAGTGGGTTTTTTGAGGCTGTAAACGATATGGGAAGAGATTGTCCACCTTTCTCCCGTGGAGCAGTTGATGAATTAAAATCACATGCCTTAGGTTGGCAGTGCAATCAATTATTTTCACACATTTTTTTAAATCTAATAAGCCTCTATTTATTAGTATAGATATAGGTACATGTTGAATACTGAAAGTAGACTATATAAGTCATCATATTATTATTCAGAATTACAAAACCGAGCTTTTAAATTACAGAATCTAACAGTGTATGCCACTGATTAACACTTACGTGATTAGTTCTTTTTTGAGATCTCTTGCATGGAGCTTGGGTTTAGGACTTGGTATGGAGGCTTCTCCAGTAAACTTCTTTTCCTCTAAATTTTCTGGAGAGCTCACTGGGTCTTTCTGGGAAAAATTTATAGAAGCACAAGAGGGTATTAGAGAACCCTGGAAAAGCAAGTAAGTTTTAAGTCATTTGGAGATGGGTTTGAATTTTAACTGAAGGACTTAGCTAAATTAACTCTGTGGGTCTCAATGTAATCATCTGCAAAATAGAGATGAAAGCACAGGATTCTTATAAGAAATGAATCAGATAATTACTATAAGGTTAGGTTCTGATTTATGTGACCTCCTCCACCCCCATCACTGAAGAAGGAGAAATAATTGTCAGATGACAATACCTTTAAAGAGTATCTTGGCAATTGTATACAATGAGACAATTCTTAAGGCTTGTAAACAAGCTAATATTGTAATATGGTTCAAGTTTTATTACTCAATAAGTGATTTCTTAGAAATACAAAAGATACTCTTTATGTATGCAACAGTCATTGGTACAACAAGAGTAATATTGCAAAATTTCATAACATTTTTAAGTAGAAATGAAATGTTTAGGTCAACATAATTCCGATTTTGACAGATACATCATTTTGATCTAAATTATTTGCTTAAATTCATAATAGCCAAAGCCTTGTTTCAATTTATTTGGATACTTGCTTTTATTCTTATATTTCTTCTTGGTTTTTTTTAAATTAAAAAATTTTACAAAATTGATATAGTGCTTTTTCTTAGAATGGATTATTTTTGTTGGATATTGTTAATTTTCACAGTCTTATTTTAAATTTGATTCTGATTCTGTTACTATAAGAGAAATTCCTAAGTCTCTAAGACTATTTATTTTCTGTATATTACCTAAAAGAAAACTCATGATATTTTGAAATCACAAAATTAGCTTGTTTCATCACTGAAAAGCAATAATCTCTGGATTAATATTAAAATAATTTTTTTTAAATTTTTGTGTGTATACCCGTCAAATCAGACCTGACTGGTACAGGAGGAGATTGCCCCTCCTTCTCCAGCAGAGCATCTGGTGGATTCGAACCGCATACCTCTGGGATTGCAGTGCAGCTTCTTGCCACTAGGTCACTAGAGCTCCCAATATTAAAATAATCTTAATAAAAATAATATTAAACAATAAGAAAACTGTATTATTATTCTTATTGTGATCTACTATAGAGGTATCTCAGTTGAATCAAATGGCTATGTTACAATACACTGTAGTTTCAATAATGTCAAATCTACATGCAAAATCAAGGAGAAAACGCAAATCTCTGCATTTTTCCACCCAAAGGAAAATTCTAATTCTTTAGTCTCAGTCACAAGACAAAGATATTTTTCATAAATTATCTGTAGCATGTATCTAGACAAAGTTAATAAAACTAATTTAGCACAGTTTCATTCTTCATATTATTTTATTGATACTGATGAATCTTTGAAACTAGTAGAAAATAACTATATGCTACTTAAATATAAACAGGAGTTTGATAAAATGTGCATTCTAGAATATAAAGAGCAGTGTTGTTTCAAATGGCGTCTCCATGAATTCTAAAGCAAATCAGGTATATTGCTATAGTTAGTTGCTGTCTAGTTAAGTATGACTCATTGTGGCCCTATGAACAACAGATTTGAACCTTGTCCTATTCTGTGCCATCTTCAGTATTTGAGTCCTGGTATACTTGAAGCAATTACTTTGTCAATCCATTTAGTTGAGAGTAATTCTATTTTTTGCCAACCCTCCATTTTTCAAAGAATGATGTCC